ACTCTCTCTACTCGCGCTGTGGCTCGACGGCTTGGATTATCCCAATGGCAAGTGTGGTATGTTTTGCATGAAAACATATTCCACCCTTACCACTACACACCTGTGCACGTCATAGAGAAAGGAGATCCCATGAGTCGCATGCAATTTTAAACGCTGATGTTGAAGATAGCAATTATTTAAGAAAAATTCTATGGACCGACGAATCAAAATTTGATAAAGACGGCATAACAAAAATCCATAACGCTCACTGTTGGCGTGAACGTGCAGTGGGAAATCCGCATATGAAGAGACCAAAAGGATCTCAAAGGCGATTTTGTCTGAATGTCTGGATGGGCATTATGAATAACTGTTTGGTAGAACCACATTTCCTACCCGACAACTTAAATGGAGAGGCCTACGAAAATTTCTTAAGAAAAGTTCTATTTGAATTACTTAAAGACGTGCCGCTACACACAAGACACAGAATGATTTTTCAGCATGCCGGGTGCCCAGCAGATTTCAGACTAAGTGTTAGAAATTGGTTAAATGAGCAGTTTCCGAATCGATGGATCGGTAGAGGCGGACCAATCCCATGGCCAGCACGCAGTCCCGATCTCACACCTATGGACTTTTTTGTGTGGGGTCGCATGAAAACTTTAGTATACTCTAATCAAAATCCTGTACCCACAATAGAAGACCTCAGAAACAGGATAATACATGCAGCACAAGAAATTCAAGCCTCTCTTAGGCATTCGGTGGTAGTAAAATCAGCTGTCATAAGAAGAGCACGTGTGTGCATTAGAAATTGAGGGCCCCATAATGAATATATATATATATATATATATATATATATAGTTTCAAACAAACTATCCTGTATTAAGGTATGATTTTGTAGGTGTAGTATTTTTATTGCTTTTTCCTTCCTCCTATTATAATAGTCATATTTTTGCCAATTCTTAATCGATTTGTGATTTTTATACCTCATTTGAAAGGTAATGAAACGTAGATGTTTTCTAATTATTTTGTACGAAAAATTTGTATGCGACTTTTTCTAGTAAACTGAAGCTTTTGAGATGAACGAAGATTTAAAAAAAAATCGAACTACTTTGAAGCTTACTGCATGGGATAACGTCAATAATGTACATTTGAGTATCAATTTTCATATTTTAGAATATTTTTATTGTAAAACCAAAAAAAATATCAAATGAAACACCCAATTTTCAAGTTTTATGACTTGGTTAACGTATAAAGGACGTTAATTTTATAGAATCTTAAAAATTAGTATAATTCGAAAACGGCTAATTTTCGGACAGTAGTTCCTATAGTAAAATCGACTCAGATTGGCTTGTACTATCTCCCCCCACCGGCTCCGCATCTATTTTCCCGTCACCCTGTATAATAAATTCGTAAAGTAAATAAAAAATGATTTTATTTAAAAAAAGGTCAATTGATAATATTTTCAAAATAAATCTACCTACTTGTTGAATGCAGGCATGGGCCCGTAAGCCTACTGATGACGTAGTTATCCGTATTTGGCCCCTGTTTTGTCGTGTTTGTTCAGCAGCCTGCTGAATACGCGCCAATAACTCTTCCCTTGTATTTGAAACTTTCGCATAGCACGCATATGCATGCAGCCCCATAAATAAAAATCAAGGGGATTGTGATCGGGTGATCTAGGGGGCCAGGCAACAGGACCACCTCGACCAATCCATCTTGGATAGATGACGGTAACCCAATGTCGGACAGCAATTCTGAAATGCGATGGAGCCCTATTCATTTGGAACCACATGTGTAGGCGAATATTCAGTGGGACATCCTCCAAAAGTCCTTGCAGTTCGTCCATAAGAAATTGAAGGTAACTGTCCGCATTCAACCTTGCAGGAAGCATAACAACCAATCAACAAGTCACCGATTGGGGCAGCCCAAACGTTAATAGAAAATTCATGTTGAAGATTACATGGACGTACAGCTTTGGAATTTTCTGATTCCCACCCTATCCAGGTTTCTCAGATTTGTAATACCACGCCTTGTGACTGCAGCTTCATCTGTGCAGAGGACTGTTCTGCAGAAATGAAAATTAAGACGGTACTGTTTTAATATTAGGTCGAATACACTAGACGAGCGTAGTGATCTGCCTCAAGCAAACCCTGTCCCCTACGATAATGATACGGATGTAGGCCTTTTAAAATTCGCCAAACAGTGATTCGCGGTACTCCGACTTGTCTACCGATTCGACGTACACTGATAGTTGGATCGCTTACAACAGTATCTAATACTTGTTGATCCAAGTTTGCTGGCAAGGACACTCCCCGATCGAAAAGAATATCACGCAGTCCGCATTCCCGAAATTGTCTGTGCACATCCATAAATGTGTACAGTAGACACACAAAATGCATTTCTGCGTACTCTTCAGAAGAAAATCGGTAGAGCATTTAACCCGATTCGGTATTGCCAACACTACACTCATTAACACAAAGACGACTCTTGCTGATCAGCTGTTTACCTAGTAGACAGCAAAACGTAATTGAGACTCTAATTACATTAAAAATACTGTTATGCATGTGATTGGCCGCATACTTGAAAACTGATGCAACTCAGTCAAGTAACACAAGTGGCGTGCGTAAAGACATTCTAAATGGGTCAAGAAAGAGGCACCTACACACATACCACGTTAGAATTATACCTTAATAACTTTGAAATCAGCACTCAGCGACCATGTGTGGGAAAAGGGCACAGGATAAACGTCTGAATATTGCACAGATAATAAAAATTACAAAAGGAAGGTGAAGAATCAGTCTATATGAAACTAAACGACAACTGTCTTTCTAACTGCTCTGTAGATTGTGACCCAATTTTGTTGAGTATGCTTGAAGGGGATATCTGACGTTTTTTAAACCGACTGATGGATCGTAAGCTTTTTGTTTACAGTTTGTTATTTGATTCCAAATAATAATAATAATAATAATAATAATAGCGTTTATTTGCAGAGCCAAAAAAATACAAAGAGATAAAATTAAAAATGAAGAAACAACATTAATTCCCTGCAAAAGGGACCAGTAAACAGACGAGCTGATCAAAGTACTAGCCCAACAAACAAAATTACAACAGAGGAGTTTTTAACCAAATTATATAAGTTAATATTAATAATTAATAAATTATATAAAAAATATAATTTAGCGAAAAAGGTCAATTCATTTTAGGCAGATTTAACAAAAAAAAAACATTTAAAATATAAAAAGCAAAGGAACAATATAAAGTAAACACTACAATTCATCTAATAGAAATTTTCTGTAACTTATTTTGAAAGCTGACACAGACATAGACTTAAGTTTTGTGGGGACGTGATTGTACAAGTGGTAGACAAAATGAGAAAAGCATCTGTTAAACATAGATGTACGATGACGTGGTTGGGAAATCAGCTTCCGATACCGAACATTGATATTGTGAACATCACTTCGAAATGAAATCTTATTATATAAATAAGGCGGAGTTTTATAGAGAATAATTTTATGAAATAAAACTGCAGAGTGCAGATTTCTCCTAGCTTCCATATTTAGCCATCCTATTACAGGTAACTTATAAGAAATATCTTCAAATTTTTTCACTCCAAAAATAAACCTAAGACAAGAGTTTTGGACATGCTGTATACCATCAACATATCATACCTTGTTATACAAGGCCGATAAACTGAGTCGCAGTAACTGTATAATGACAGAACAAGCGTGTCACAAAGCAAAGCCTTAAGTTTGGTAGAAAAGGTATGACGATATGGAAATAACATTTTAAGCCGACCATAAGCACGGCCAATGTACTTATCAACATGCTTTGAAAACCTCAGGTCACTTTCCTTTCCTTTCCTTATTATTAATTGAAATATGGAATGAATCTGCCACGCTCTTTTTATGTTTCCCGAACAATAAAACATTTGACTTGTATTTACAGATAACTGATGTGCTATGCTTTCATTTGTCAAAATACTAAGATCTTCATTTAATAATACAGTTGCAGCTGTTGTATCTGTATGAGAGACCGAAAATTTTATCTGGGTATCATCAGCATATAAATAAGGCTTTGAATACATCAAACTACTAGTAATATTTGCAGAGTATACTGAAAAAAGTAATGGACCCAAGATAGAACCTTGAGGTACCCCACACAGAACAGGCTTGGAAACAGACACCCCGGAAGAGGTTATGACAAACTGCGTCCTCTTCAAGAAATAACTTTTGAATAGTTTAATAGCGGAACATACCATGTATTTTAAAATAGAAAACATTAACTGGTGATTAATTGTATCAAATGCCTTTCTGTAATCAAGCAATACAAGAGGCGCTGTATTGCCGTTATCAATATCCCTGATAATTTCGTCCGTAACATCTAGAAACGCTGCCGTGCAACTAAAACCCTTTCGAAAGCGTGACTTAAATGAAGGCAGCAAATCATAATTATCTATATGAATCATTAACTGAAATTTTATCATTTTTTTCCAGAACCTTAGCCAGCACCGGTAATATAGAAATTGGACGAAGATCCAACAAGCTAGATATAGTGCCATTCTTTGGCAGAGGATGAACTTTTGCAACTTTCCAACAGTCTGGAAAAGTATTTTCTATTAGGCAACAATTAATAATATGCGTTATGGCGGGTAAAATGTGCGGACAGCATAAAAGTAGCATTTCTATATTAATACCATACGCCCCAGTTGCAAGATTATGCGCAGATGTTTTGCTTAGACACCTTAAGGCCGAACTGTTATGTCATATTATCCTATCACAAGATAAACATCACGGTGCCTTGAGGTCGATATACATTCCATGATCCATGATTTGTAGTTGCTTCTAAGACTTCGCCGACTGCTTGGATAGCGTATATGTCGAATTTGGACGATCATCAACAATTCTATCAAATTATGCTTTGACAGAATCTACTTACTGTCAACATCAAGACGAGCTTACTGGAAGTAAAGAATTTCTAATAAAAAAACTAAATGAAAATAAAATGCGTTTTAAAATATTTGATATGTTATATTTGGCTTCCTACTCTGGTGTATTTACTTTTAATCACAATACCTTCAACAAATGATAATATTTGATCAAATAATATGTACAATCAAAACTATATATGTATAGATAATAGCCGTTTTAACTACAATCTTACAGTACATTCAATGTGCAGGAGCATGTTTTAGGTATTCTCGCAAAAAACAATAGTACAAATTTCAAACGTTGTTAAATATAAGTAAGCTTCCATTTGACAAATCAACGTTTTACTTATAGCTTGCTTATGTTAAAAGGTTGTTAACACGTTAAACGACATGGCGGTCTCATGGGACCACTTGACTACGGGCCTATTACGCCACGGCGGTCCGTATGGACCGCTTTGTATTTAATTTCCACAGTGACTCCAGCCAGAGGTCCATATTTAAATTCATTTTAGCGTTAGATATGGACCGCTGTGACTTGTATAGATTATATATACCCACATGCCAGCTTTTTGGTGTATTTTTGTTTTAAATAGTTATTCAATTTTTTTATTCACATCATTTATTTCCTACTAAATCTAGACATCAACAAAAACAAACAAGATTCCAGTGAAAATGCATATATATAGGGATACTAAATCTAAGAATTCATTCATTTATGACTTGTTCCGAAACAGTCAAGGCAAAAGTGGGGATTTCCTTAACAACTGTCACAATAAGTAGTAACTTTTGGAATCTTATTATTTGTTATTTCACCCCCTATTTTTTTACTATAACATCCTTTACAATACCGTCAGATTTCGTAGAATTTCCTTCTTTTTTTTCAGGACACGTCGTTCCCGTCTTGTGTCAGCTTTTGACGTTGATGGTTGATTAGACACATTATTTGTTCGGAACATGAATGGCCTGATGGATATTTTTCTAACATTTTGCTTGGCGTTTAACGTGTTTTAAAAATTATTCCCTATTCGTAGCCCATTTACGCCCCGGCACAGCAAAGGTGCAGCGCGGCAAAGCGGCAGCCGCCTAAGCCATGCAGTAGCTATTGGTCATTTGGCGATAAAACTACGAACAAGTGCAGGATTCGACAGGATAAACTCAGGCTCGGAGTATCGCCGGCACGCCGAGGCCGGCAGTTGCTGTTCATATTCTGTGCAGAAATAGCGTGTATTTATACGTAGAGCATGTCGTCTACAGACACAGCAGATGCTCCCTCTTCAGTGATGTCTCCTCTCCGAAAAAGTGACAAGAAGGAACATTTGAATATTCAGGCAAAAGAAATTGCCCTTAACGTTTATACATGTAAGAGCGAAATTTTAGGGCATCCTGAAATATTCAAAGACGTGTGGCGAACAACACAGGCTTAAGTCCCAAGACAATTTTCAACATTGTTAAGGAATATAAAAAAACAAAAAATGTCTCCATCGCACAAAGCTGTGGGATACAGTTGATAACTTTGATCGGAATGCCATCAGACGCAAAGTGCAACAATTTTTTGAAAGGCAGACAAAGTACTACAGAAGGTTAATAGTGATGAAAGCTTACCTACTTTCAAAAGGACTACATTCTATAGTTTTGAGTATAGAAAACGGGACAAAAATAGTATTTTGATGGATAACCAAGAGATTATTTTATGGATAAGAAATTATTTAAAATCAATAAATAAATAAATACTGCGACCAGCGCAGGGAGATTTATTACTTGGATGAAACCTGGATAAATGCAGGACATAGAAAACCTAAAGTATGGACTGACCCTACAATCAAATCAGCAAGACAAGTCTTCTTAGAGGGACTAACCACTGGTCTAAAGAATCCGACAGGTACGTGTATCTAACCAATTCGTCATTTGTGTTGTAAAAATGATGTCAGGATTTCCTGGAAAAGTAAAACGATTTTTTATCTGTCTTTGCCCTATGAGCATTTGAGTCACAGAAAACGACCGACTACCATGAAAATGACGGGAGTTCATTTGAACGGTAGTTTGAAAACAAGTTCCCAAAGCTTGACGACAATGCCGTCATTGTACTTGATAATGCTGCATATCACACTAGAAAACATTCCCACAATGCCACAAGAAAGGCAGAAATCCAACAATGGCTCCTAACAAAAGACATTAGTTTCAATTAAAATACGGTCAAAGCAGAACTCATCCATCTAGTCAGACAGCACAAATATAAATATAATCTTATTGTTATTGACGAAATGGCTAAAAACCAAAATAAGACCGTTTTAATCACTGCGCATTAAATACCATTGAAATGATTTGGGCAAATATAAAAAACTATGTGGATTAAAACTATAGAACACTCAAATTTTCTGATGTGAAAAATTTGTTTTATGAAGCAGTCAACAGGGTGACGGAAAACCATTGGAAGGATTGCATCCGTCACGTTTAAGAGACAAGCGAAACAAAGATGTGGGGTCTGGACAATATGATTGGTATTCAAATTGAACCTGTAATAATTCATATTAACCCTTCGGACAATGATTCAAGTACTTCCAGCGAATAAAGAATTGTGAAAAGTATGTGCACTTCTTTCTATAAAATAATATTTATTTTGTTATATTATTCCGTAAATGGACTACGAATGGGGTATAGTTTAAATTGCCTCGGGGTTCGTGTGGAGTTGGAGGTAACTTTCAGTGCAATATTATTAGCAGAATTGCAGTGAGCAATAACATGTTTTACATTAGTAGTAAGAGTATGCCTTACCCTACGTTCATGAAATTCAGTATGCAGTGAAGCAATTTGCTTGTAAGACCCCTCGGTCAAAATGCAAGTTCTCTTTTATTTTATGGTACTAATATAGTTAATTATGAATTATAATCTCAATGAGAATAATAAAAAGTAGGAAGTCATTCAAGAAATGAGCTCTACTAGATGCTCTTTTTTCTAAAACAATGTTTGATGATAACAGTTCTTTGTAAAATGTTTTTTTGAAATGAAATATTTCCTTTTAAATGTTACAAAGTTGCAGAGCTAACCAATGCACTGAATTATGCTTGTACTTTATTTTGAGACCCCACGAATAAATAATATTATAAACAAAAGTCCAAGCTAAGCTGCTGTTTTAAAATAAATTTATTTCTATGTTAAATATACATATTGCTAGATTCAAAATTAAAAAGTAAATATTTCAGCTGTCATTATTCTTACTGAGAGAGATAGACACCAGCTTTCCCATTCTAGTACAACTATAGTTCATCCAAGTTAAATTGGCATCATCATCACCCAACCAACGTTCTTCCTCGTCCGTTAAATGTTTCAATTTGGCGGTCTTATTTCCTTTTGTTTGCTAAAAAGAGAACGACACTAAAATCCGATATCTCAAGGAGCAACCTTTCACTGTTAAAGGACTCCTTTTCCACAAGGAAAAATAGACGTAAAAGTTGCATTCCGCCATGACTCAAAAGATCTCAGGGTCAATGCTTTTCCGAATTTGGGGTGTCAGAGACATTATTATTTTCAAATATTGCCTCTAGTTATCCATACGTTAAAATTATTTCAAAATACCTCTGCACACCTTCATGTCAAAATGCAGCTTTCTCGTCCAATGTTTCTTGAAATTGTTCTCCTGACTGGGCTATTTTTATCGAGACTAACAATAAAGTCGTTTCAAGTTTTTTATTGAAAAACCTGGTATCATACATTTAATCGAAGGAATATATAAATAAAAAAATTAAGATTACTAGGATCAATATAATTAATCGTTAATAAAACACATTTTACAAAGAGATACAGAGGAATCAGTACATTCCCAGAAATATACAAAAAAGAATCAATAGCTAAGTAAACAAAGTATATGTACACATACTATAACTTGATTTAAATAAAACTCCTACCCACCAGATTTTCCAATATGTATAAATATGTTGTAAGCTCTTTCCGTGACATATAGAGGCTTAAAATAACAAAAAGTGACCCTAAAAATTGTCCAAAAATAGCCTATTTCCTAGACCACGAATTTCAACACAAAATGCGCGCTAAGCGAAATTTATCGCAAACATGAGTGCTTCACATGTACTATGAACATTCTTTCGACACTGGACCTCTCTAGGTGATAATAAAATGGTTTAATTGGAAAATACTTGGAAAAAACTAAAACATTCAAATGATTATAGTTGGAAATATCGACCATTCTGCCACTGTTGCTATTTTTTTGCAATTACTAATTGTATTTTTCTTTCAGTAAAAATATGAGTTGAACATGAAACGTCATTGAAAATCATTTTAGAGAAACCATCCTTTAATGTGCATTCGAATTTAAAATTCTAGATTTAGAAAACGAGCTAACATTACGGTCACTTTTACGGAAGGATAAGTAGCGTGTGTCGTCCCATATTTTTGATTCGGCAACATCGAAATACACTACTTATTATAAATTGTTATATATCTGTAAGCATAAACTACTGATCAAGAGGCACCGCCGAATCGAAAATATTGGATTAGAGTGAGACAGATCTCCAAAATCTCAATGCTGACGTTGTTGTACCTAATATTTAAATCTCACTAGTATGATACTACTACTATTGGAGGTTCAGAAAACTACTGAGGGCCGATTTCATACATACTGTCAGTCTGACAATTTATTTGACCAATCAAATGCGGTTACTCGGAAATGTTCTCAAACAGTGGTGTCAAAAGTTTTTGAAAATGTGCTTAGGAAAGTTGTGATGATACGGTTTAAATTTGCAATTGAGAAAGATCCTTCATTATAAGAATGATTTATTTTGTGAAGGACTTTTTTGTACTCAACTATTTTTGACAGACTGAGTGATATGATTGATTTCATACCCAGAAAAGCATAGCTATCACATTCAACCAAAAATCAAAGTCTCTGTCAACACAAAACCAACAAAAATCATTTCAGACAGTGCGCTTTTTATTAATTTTATTATAATCAATAATTTGAGGAACTTCTGACACCAACAAGGTGATAGCAAATGAGAATGATTCATGTCAATAGTCTTCAAAATTATCAAATTAACAATTTTTATGGAATTGGTGCTAAGATAAGCATGAAGACTCGAAGATTTCACACTACACATATTTCTGGAATTTTCAGTATACTTCTTCCATTTGGTGCAAACTATTGTGAGTTCAAAATATTTTAGAGATGCTAGTAGGAACATAAAAATACAAATGAGATTTTGGAAGCTAGTTTCGGATACAAGCATCCGCAGTTAACGGGATCAAGAATCGTTTCGACAGGTGCACGGCGAACTCTAGTTTGCTTATGACATGATCTTTTTTTTCTATGTGTAATTTCTTATCTCTGTTTAGAGTTTATAGCTTTTGCTTAACTCCTCTATTATGTATAATAATAATATAGTTTTGACAAAACGTATAACTTGGACTGTTCTTGTCCATCAAAAGCCTTTTAACACGTCAATTTTATATAATGCACATTATTTTGTATATTCTTCACCATTGTCAACTCTGTTTCCGAAACAGATTTTACGCTACTGAGCAATATCCAAAAGCACTGTTTTGTAATAAAAACGGCTTAGATGCATCTCAACAAGTGAAATGGGCAATATGTCTAAATGAACTAAAGCATCCTTATTAATGCTATATCAATTTCACATCACAGAATGATTCTGCGGATGTAACTAAACTTGTTCAAAACTAAATGCATTCATCAATCATTAGGATAAATTAGCTTGGTCTCATTCATGATAAGTAAGTGTTAAATGCATTTATACACGGCTTGAGTCGCAACATGTTCAGAAGCTGGAGGTTAATATTTGAAGCATCTGTGATCCTTAGAACATGCAAGTATACAATTTCTTTCTGTAATTTTGGTTTTGTTAACACATACTACCAAGACAGAATTTACCAATCACATGGGAAATCTTCGTGTCTGATTGGTTAGAATATTAACTTTGTACTCATCACCTCCGTAAAAACGCTTTCAGTTCACTTTCTAGGTGCCCGAAACAGTATCATCAGTCGTTCCACAATAAACCTGTGACACAGAGTAGCGCGCTTAGTAAAAAATTGTCTCGCTTAAAACAAATAAGAATCTATAAAGAAACCGTAGTATATAGATGGGAGAAGGGAGGGGCATTAAAATATAAAATGCCACTACAAACAATGTTCTGTACAACGCACATTATATTGTTATTAATTTCTATAGTACAGCTGTCTTCTCACACATATCGCTTACTAAATGTAATATATATCTGAGATGAGACAATCCCCACTAGGTTGATTACAAGCTAAATATTACACGTTTCGAAACATTTCTTCAAGGTCGCTTTCTGGAAACTGCAATCGCTACCACGTCAGCATGAAACGAAGAAGGAATGCATCTTTATAAGGTCTATTACTTATATTAAAGTGATACATAGTACGAGCAAGTTTTCTAAAAAGCTGAAGTCACTAGTCCCGTTGAGGAGTTCGCCTACCTTGGCAATTACAATTATCGGGATATCATGTAGTTCTATAAATTGTTGATTGTACAGCTATTCTTAATTGATGTATACTTCTCCCGCTGCAGGTGCGAAAGGTTCTCATGTTACATATGCTAATAATAATTTTAGATTCGTCATAGAAGTTTGGATTTTGCTGATTCAATATCAACTTCTCATAGACGTGTTATGTATGTAAGGTCCTCAAAATTACACTGTAATTAAAGGCATAACTGGGATGTCCAAATTGTTGGGGGGATCTAACAAAAATAAAAACATGTTTGCAACTCGGTTTTGCCTTGAATGCTAAGCTGCCTTTCAGCACCACATAATTGCTCATTGCCTACGTGACTGCATAGATAGGACATTCATCTTGAGTAGTGTTTTATAAAGATGTGGTTTGAAACTAAAAGGCTACGAACGACTAAAATACGCTAACTCCCCAACCTTGTTATCACATTGATTACTATTCCACCGCAACAGTTCATCTTATTATATTAATATACATATTTATAACTCTTTACTAAACATAGTCCACATACCCATCTACACATTCCTTCTGTCCGCTGATTGACAAGTGACAAATGACAGTATGCAGTTTCCAGAACGTTTCCTCAACGGCAACACTGTAAGGAACTGTGGAAGGGTGGGTAAAGGACAGGCGGGATTAGAGGGGAAGGGGCACCCTGGCCTGGATTGGGCTACTCGGAAACGTCAGGACTATAATGACTATTTGAGAAGTTATTTTCTCGAACATATGGACTTTTATAGATTTTCAAGTTTCTGATGCTGAAATCAGTACGTTTTTCATAGTAAGACTGGTCAGAGACATTATCTGTAGTAAACAAATGAAACTCTTTCCTTCTGCATTTCAGGCAGACAAATATGCCTTTTTGTATTGCATAGTAATAAACATTGACCGACCATAAAGAAATAGATGGTCCTTTGGAACAGTTAGTTCATATTTTGTTATTCTGAAGGTAACGTTTTCTAAACAAATAAAAAAAACTTGCTTTTTGATTTGTGCAAACATTATTTATCTGCAAAAGGTGACATTGGTAGTTTATTTGTGGATGAAAGACTGGTAAGACGCTACAATATGTATAGCATAAATGAAAAAATTACATTAAGCGCGTGAAGAATACTACTAATAGAAATAGTATTATAAGGAATATAGGTTTTCTATTATGTAAATGTGGTTACCTTTTCAATTTTTCTAGAAGTCAGTTTCACACAAATCACAAAACATTCATGCCTTGAGATGATTTTGAAATACACTGAAAACGTCTTAATGACAAAATCTGGAAGTAATAGGAAAAAAATAAAAAATGGAATTGATGATGAAGATGGTGACACATACTTGAACTTAAATATATAGCTTCAGCATACGAAAAAGAAACCTTCATGCGACAGACCTCTCATCACTAAAATTTGATAGCAGAATTTTACGATACATCGATTGCCATCATATAATTTAATTAATCGATGTTGGTATGGAATGTTTGAATTTTAATGTCCATAGTTGACAAGAGAACAGTAAACTCCAGGCGACATAAAATATCTCCCTCAAAGAAAATCCAAGCACAAACCAATAGGAATCTTAGAGATTCACTTGTTAAGTTTGTAAAATTACGATCATTCGTTCTAGATTCATCCAGTCGCTGTGTACTAAGGACGTCACGGTTCAATTTTGCTGTGTTTCTGTATATGACTTTCCGCCCCCCAGTAACTGATGGGGATGTTACTTTGAAGATTCTGAAACCAGTAAGCATGCTCACTTGTGCAACAACATCTGTTTCCCTATATTCACCCAGTCCTTGCCAAAAACCCAAGGTAATAGAATCGTTTGTTGGGGCGAGGCATTGGCGCGTTCAAATGTCATATCATGAAAGGAGTGGGGAGTGTGAGTGAGTGTTGAATGTGTGTTGTTGGTTGTTGTGTGTGTTGGCTACTACTATACTGCTATATGTATCTGACTAAGCTATACCGGACGGTTGTGCCGGTGCGTCTGCCGCCGATGAGGCAGTGTCTGCCGCAGTGCCGCCCGCGGTGGGCCCGCCCCCGGTGCTAGCCGTCCCCGATTGGGCTGCTGACGACCCACCGCCTCCGCTGCCCTCCTGCTGTTGCGATTGGCTGTTTGCTGCCGTTGCCGCAGCTGCGCCCGCCTCTAGGTGCCGCGGGATGAGCAGCGCGTTCAGCGACGGCTGGATACTCAACTCTGAAACAAAATAAAACAATTTTTCTGTATGTTCAAGCTGCTGTGAAAGAACACTCACGCAGTCCAGTCTTAGAGAGGCGAAAAGCCCGCCGCCGTGAGAGAAATTTACCGACTCGATTTTAGTTTATGATCGCGAATGTTGAATGTCTCTTGAAACATGAATGAAGAGGTTGCCGGGCAGCAACATGGAGCATACTTTAAACAACTTTTTAATAAGTTACAAAACACTTTTTTCGCTCCGGATGAGGTATTTTGGATTATCCAGAAAAAAAAATTAATTCGAGACTTTTAGCTAGTGTTAACCGTCTTATAAGCGATCTGCAAACACCAATATTTGTTACTTGACCCTTTCGCTTCGGAAGACGATTATATTCGAAAAAAAATTGTCTGGCATACGGGAAATGTATATTTACGCAGTGACAGAGGCCTCGGTTAACTACGGGAAACGTGTTGATCAGCATATGTCGGTATTTGTTTGTACAGGTTAGGCAGCAGCGGTGGCCGCAGTAGTAGACTCTTCGGTCTCCTCATCAGTCGCCGTGCGCTGTGCGGGTTCGAATCCCGTCCCAAGAGAAATTTTTCTCTTAGCTATAGATGTTGTGCTTGTCCGTAGGTGGTAGACGGTCTCTGACTCGTGGGCGGGACCAGAATGTGTGCATGTTGCATACACACGTGTTTCCTCGCCAGAGTCCGTGTGGCGTTCCCTCTTTCCCCTGTATTCCCTTATAGCCCCACGGTACCCCATGGGTGTTTAGGTCTTAGGCCTTCGTGGTAGTTAGAATATATAAAAAAGCAAATACTACGCATACGATCGAAAATTTTTGGTGGTGGGGGAACTGGCATGCAGAGAAGACAGGTTGTAGCACGTTTATTTGACCATTATTCTTTGAACGCGAGTACTGATACTTCTATTATTTTACGTTGTATTTATCTTCGAAGTGTCTCATAGTGAGTTAACATATCAAGAGTTGTTAGAAATATTACAGAATAGCGATTCTGACAGCGATTTTGATGGCAACGTCGAGGAATGGGAAAATATCTGATCAAGCAGTGCAAGATCAAAACGATTGTTGAACAAACTAATAACAAAAAAATTTACAAGTCGTGACCAAAAAGGAGACATCATACACATGAGCGCATTTTAACGGGGATCTTCTATGCTACATTTTTTCCACGAGGGCCTCAGTAAAAATATACGAGGTGTTGAAGTTTAAAAATAAAAAACATAACTTCAAAACCGTCAACTGGACTGAACTAAAATTTGGTATGTGCTTTTACCTAAGTATTGTCCACATTCAAAAGTCTTTACTCAAAAATAACGTGCATCAGTGGCAGAGATACAGGGGATCAGTGGTATTATTTTTCCAAATAAAAATAGTACGCCACTGTTTTTTTTAACGCAATATGGAATTGCCAAACTTCCTGGAATTAGAGGCCGTGGTGTCCAGCATACTGTTCAAGAGGAACTGGAAGTGATTAATTTGGCTTTGAATGATCCTAGTTCAAGTACTAGGCGGATTGCAGTCCACTTACCATGTTCTCAAAGTCTTGCGAGGAGAATTTTAAGTAGGGAAGTTTTATATCCTTACCATCGGCAAAATGTGCAATGTCTGCAACCCGAAGAACGACGAAGTGCAACACTTCGTTAAAATTTTAAACGTTCCATTTGCATTTGAATTTTCAGATTTTGTTACTTACGTTATGTTTTTGTTATTTATATATAAGTATATGTATTTGTATTTTTGAATAACATTTTTGTAAGGAAATGTCTTTGTAAATAAAAAGTTTTAATTATCGCCATTTCACTAAAGAATATAATAATAATATAAAATATATAATATAACATAAAGACGTATAGTCATTCCTAAAGAGAAGTGGATAGATCAGCGCGCGATAAAATATTGATTTGGAACGGGAAGCGTATAAATCAGCAAGCGGCCGTAGGACAGACAGATTTCCTAACAAAATCCTCCGTTGCGAAAGGGTTAAAAGCTCGGTTAATTATTTATAATTATTCTTGAGGTTGTAAAGCATCTGGGTGTCCCATAGGCCAGGTCATAATAGTTATAAGAAAAATATAAATATCTAAGTCGTGTACTTTTCAAATCATAGGCTCGGAAATCGTAAAAATCTACAGCCTGTGCAGAGCTTTTAGTTCCCGTTACCTTAAATTTCAGTTTTTTTTTAGACGGAGTGACGGACAGCGCCATTCTATCTAGTGACACCAAGACATATAGTAACGCTACTTTTATTAATTCGTGAATGTATTTATTAAATTCACAATAAATGTTCAAACTGCTTTCCTTCAGCAGCATCTTAACAATGATCGGGTTATCGGACGGGCGAATTATCCGATATTAACAAATTCAGATGCTTCCGTTATTCTATCATGTAGCTCTGCTAAATTTTCGACTGGTCTTGAGTAAAATTTTTCTTTCACCGCTCCCTAGTAAAAAAATCGAGTGGATTCAAGTCAGGACAACAGGCTGGCTAGGAAATTGTACCAGACCGCCCTACCTATCTGCTCTGGTATTCCGCCTCAAGATATCCTCTAACTGAACGGGCATAGCGCGCCGGGCAGCCGTCTTGCCGGTACCACATGTGTAAATGCTTAAAGGCACGTATTTCAATAAATTTGGTAAATGATTTTGTAAAAAGTCTGCATAAATTTCGCCGTTCAAGAGCCCTAGCAGCTCAAAGGGTACAATGATTCTCCCATTTAGAATCCAGGTCCACATGTTTAAAACGATACTATGATCTACCTTGTCTCATCAAATGTGGATTTTCTATATGCCACTCGTGTAAGTTGCATAGATTCATGTAACAATCTTTTTTAAAACTCAACTCAACTCAACAGATTGCTGTACGTGGTACGGGTGGAGCTCGTTCTTTCGCAAGATTCGGTGGACACTAGCACTTCATCTAGATTCCCCATCAATAAGGTGGTTTTATTTGGCGGCCTGCAGAACTTGAAGATTTGTTGTATCTGATAAAAGTCATTGTAAATTTTGCTTTACATCATTTGCATTGTTCTTTGAAAAAGCTCACCGCGGAAGCCGGAAGGCCAAAAATTTTATCATCAACATCTGTGATTTTGACCACGATACCATGGTGATAGGTCAGCAGGTATTGTGTCTGTGGGATTTACTTGACATGATCATGAATCCAAAATCTTTAAACTCAAACAAATAGGAGATATGCATGTGATTGTAATATCGGTTTATTATTTTTATTTGCAGTCTATATTGGTACAGAATTACACATTCAACCTTATTTTATACTTATGCGAAAACAAGTTACGAGCAATAATAAAGAATGTAAAATATTCGAGATAGATTAAAAAAGTCGAAACACAATGATGTCACCATTTGCGACTTGTGACCAGCCAGTCCGATTTAAAATGGCAGGTCTCTGTTTCGTTTTTTATTTATTTGTACAATGTAAAAAGGGCCTATGGTGATAAGTACTTCTCTGCTTTGAACAGTTTTTCTAGAAGCTATCATTTTTTCAATATTTAATTTTTTTTGCATATATCAAATACAACTCCTAGGGCATTTTTGTAATCAACTTTCCCCGTTGTAACATTATACAGGGTGTTTCAGTTTATTGTTGCATAACTTTAAGATCCGATAGAACTTTTAAAATTAATGCATAAAGTCTATATAAACATGGGTCGAAAAATGCGTGGCTTCCGAAATACAGCGTGTTTAAATTTACTTTCTAAAATAGTTTTTTTAAATATTTCGAACAATATTTGATGTATAACAGTGAAAATTGGTATACAAGGGTTTTTTGGTACGACAAAACGAACCATGGGCATAGTTTTACTGTAGCCGCTAGAGGGCGCTCTCTACTGTACCTGTAGTGTATTAAAATGACCCAAAAAATTTTCTTAGTGCAATTTTTTGCTTTTTGAATAAAAAAACTGATTCTTCACACTTTTCAACATAAAAAAGCTATCCTGTGAGTTTTCGTTATAGTTAGCCGTTTTTGAGATATTTAAGGTTCGATGCATTTTTAATTATCTATGGGAAAATAATATTTTTTTTTACATTTTCGATTTGGGCATTACAAGTAATTAAGATGATCGTTTAGATTGTGTTTTTAAACACAGCAATAATTTCTAACTCCAAATAAACACAAAGAAACAGAATATTAATTTGTTTAATTTTCCAATATTATTTTTAACAAATTACATTAATTATTTGCAACTAAAATGCTATTGGATAATTAGGACAAACATACAAAATCTAAAGTAGTTGCTCGAAATGTAAACCCAATTGTTCAATACACAATTCACATCTACGAATGATCGAACGCGGTACAGCATTATTCAAATAAGGCCTTATTTCATCACATGCATTCCTGATTCTGTCTATTAGCATATCTCTTGTGGTTACGGGAGTCTGGTACACTTTTTCTTTTAGAAATCCCCACACAAAGAAATCTAATGGATTTAGGTCAGGGGATCGTGGAGGCCAGGCGACTGGTCCTCTACGGCCGATCCATCTTTCTGGATAATTTTCGTCCAGCCAGTTTCTAACTATTCTCGAATAATGAGCTGGACAACCATCAAGCTGGAACCAGGCCAATCTTCTTAAATCTAACATAACATCATCCCACATATTTGCATGTTCAGCCTTTAAAAATTCCAAGAAGGTCGCAGCATTTAACCTTGCAGGCAAAAGGTAGGGTCCAAATAGTCGATTACCAATCCACACGTTCACACTAAATTGATGCTGAACATTTCTTTCCCGAACTGCACGCGGATTTTCATGCGACCAAATATGTTGATTATGAAAATTTACCACTCCACGTCTAGTGAAGCATGACTCATCGGTCCATAAAACGTTACTTAAAAACTCCCTATTATTATCAGTTCTATCAAGAATCCACTGACAAAATGTGATTAATCGTTCTCCGTCCCCTGGCTGTAGTCCCCGCACAGCTTGCAAATGGTAAGGACGTCTATGGTCATTTCTAAGAACACGGTGAACATGTCTTGCTGACATTCCTAAGGCACCAGAAACTCTCCTAACACTTGTGGTCGGATGTCTATCAAACTCACGCAGAATCATACGGGTTAATCTGTGCTGACGAACATTTATGTTTTGATCCCTTTGGAGATTTCCAAAACCATTTTCAATTATTTGGCGATGCACTCTTACAAATACTGAGCGAGTTGGATGTCGTCTGTTTGGAAATCTTCGTGCGTATTCTCTGGCTGCTTCTGCTGCGTTTCCATTTACAAAGCCATACACAAAATGAATATCCGCTAACTCTTGATTGGAAAATAAAAATGGCATTTTTATAAAACTTACAAAAAAAAAACAGGTAAAAGAAACAAAATTTCGTGCATTCACAATTGCAAAAAAACGTTTCAGGTTTCAACAGACAACAAAACTAACTGTCAACTAATTGACGTTTAACCTTATTCTGCTTTCAATTTCAAAAATATTTGCAGGCACAGCCTACTTCTAAAAATTATCGAGATACTGACTTTTTAACGTTATTTTATCATAAATAATTAAAAATGCATCGAACCTTAAAAATCGAAATATCTCAGAAACGGCTAACTATAACGACAATTCACAAGAGAGCTTTTTTATGTTGAAAAGTGCGAAGAATCAGTTTTTTTATTCAAAAAGCAAAAAATTGCACTAAGAAAAAATTTTCGGTCATTTTAATACACTACAGGTACAGTAGAGAGCGCCCTCTAGCGGCTACAGTAAAACTATGCCCATGGTTCGTTTTGTCGTACCAAAAAACCCTTGTATACCAATTTTCATTGTTATACATCAAATATTGTTCGAAATATTTAAAAAAAACTATTTTAGAAAGTAAATTTAAACACCCTGTATTTCGGAAGCCACGCATTTTTCGAACCATGTTTATATAGACTTTATGCATTAATTTTAAAAGTTCTATCGAATCTTAAAGTTATGCAACAATAAACTGAAACACCCTGTATATATATATATATATATATATATATATATATATATATAATGCTATATATATACGAGCCCCTTCCCACTTCAGTTGCCCCACTTCAAGATTTGTACCAAAATATGCATTTATAAACTAAACATGACGAAACTATTTACTTCTAAAACAATTTATTTTCTCAAAAACATTTTAGGTACACTCTAGTCGTAAAAAATACTTATTTGAAATCACTTAGACCTATAACTAATAGAACATCTGAACAAATAAACAATGTGCGAATAAATGCGCGAAGTTAACAAAGCAGCAATTGAAAGATTACCATTGGGTAACATCACCTTTATTTTTTATTATGGCTGAAATTCTTTGGGGCATAGTGTTAACCAAGTTTTGGCAAAAATTTTGTGTAAAACAATCCCATATTTCTTGAAGCTTTTGTCTCAGATCGGTGATTGTACGAGCAGGATGTTGTCGTAGAACCTTTTTCATCTCGTGCCACAAAGTTTCAATAGGTGACAGATCTGGACTGCTAGAAACCCATTTCAAAAGTGGTACATTATTTTCTTCCATCCATTTTATAGCCTTTTTGAGGTATGGCACGCTGCACCATCTTGCTAAAACACAAAATCTTGGCCGGATGTCAAACATTCTTCCATCACTGGTAAAAGCGATTCTTCTAAAATTGCGAAATATTTGTTTGTATCCACATTTCCATCAATAAAATGAAGTTTTCCTACTCCTTCTGATGACATACTGTCCCAGACCATAATGGATGCTGGAAATTTCACTTTTCTCTTCAGACAGTCAACATGGAATGCTTCATTTTTTTTGCGAATAACTCTACTGCGACTGTCACCAACACAAACTTCGAATCGGGCCTCATCACTCCATTGTATTGCACACCATTGTTGATATGTCCATTGTCTATGTTCTTTAGCTCATCTAAGCCGATTTTTCTTTTACAGTGGAGTTAATAGTGGCTTTTCTTTGGCCTATAAACAACTTGTGCAACTTTAGGGTTTTTACTTCACTTTTTTTTATAATAAAACTTACCTTGCAAGTGCTAAATCCCAGTTTGTGGGCCTTGAGTTGTGGACCTCCAAATTCTCCTTCCAACAGCGTCACTCCACAGAGCACTTAATTGTAAATAATTGGCACGCCTGTTTTTCACGATTATTCTTCTTAATGCTCTTCGGTCGGCATTTGTGATATTACTTTTTTTCACATATCGTGGCTTAATATTAACTGAACCAGTTACGATATATCTTCTACACATTGTAGTATAAAATGGCTAGAAGACCTCGACCTATATATATATATATGCGCCATCTTTTATGTCGGTATGTAAACGTGAAATAACTTTGAACGCAAAACTGATTTCTATACATCGGGTATTTTTATTAAACATGGTTGTTTACAATTTAGTAGGACTAGTTTTTGAACACATCTATCAAGTGGCCACCTTTATTGGCCAAGACAAAATGTGCCCGTTTTGCTGCGTTTTCTATTAATTTTTCGAGCATCTCTGGTGGTATAGCGGCGATTGCGGTCCGAATGTTTGCCTTGAGTTATTCAGTGGTCTGGGGTTTGCTGGCGTACAGTTGACTTTTCAAATAACCCCACAAGAAGAAGTCCGGTGGGGTTAAATTTGGAGACCTGGGTGGCCAGTCAATGTCACCTCTTTTTGACATCTGACGTCCAGGGAATTTTCGTTGTACAAACTGGATTGTTTCATTTGCAGTGTGGCATGGCGCACCGTCTTGTTGAAACCAGTAAGTTTCCGGTCATGCACGGCATTTCGTGGATCTCATGTGTATTTTCCGTCCCCCAAATGTGGCAGTTTTGCTTATTAACGCCACCAGGGAGCGTGAAATGGGCCTCGTCGGTCATCACAATTTGCTTCCAAAAATCAGGTTCAGCATCAACCATGCGAGCGACTGTTTGGGCGTATTCCAAGCGGCACGGACTGTCAGTTGGCAATATTTTTGTGTTAACTGCACCTTATAAGGAAACAAATGCAAATCATCCTTCAAAATGCGCCGCAACGCTGTCTCTGACCGCTTCAACCAATTCTTTGGAATGTCCTGGTCGTTGATGAACGGTGTGTTGAGGATCTCCCACTATCCCGTACTCAAGAAAATTCGAAACCAAACGACGGATAGTGTTGTCAGACGGTGCCTGTTTGCCACGATATTTTCGACGATTTTCATGTACATTGTGACTATTTCGACGCGTTGTTTCGGTGTAAAGCGATTCATGACTAAAATTATAGTAAATTGACGTTTCACAAACACGTATAACCGAATCACTCGGTTGGTACATATCAGTCATTCGATGTTTCAATACCGACATAAAAGATGGCGCACCCGGTATATATATATATATATATATATATATATATTGTGAAAACAATAATGTCGGAATGATAATCTTACCGTGCTCGGTGAAGTTGAAAAGTGGGGGCAGTTCGTTGCCGTTGGGCAGACGGGTGTTGGGTTCCCTGAGCTCGTTGAAGAAGGGATGGGCACACGCTTGTAGAGGGCTGATCCGCGAGGAGGGAGTGTACTCCAACAGTCGTGCCACCAACTCGATGGCCTCGGGGGGCGTTCTCACACGAAACACCTGGAACAAAACACAGATACATTATTTATTGAGATTTCTTATAAGCACTAACCATTTGCAGCGTTATGGTCTTCTAAGATGACCATAACGCCGACGTTACCACAATAATTCTACTGTGCCAAGCATAATGGGGGATCTACAATATTCGGGCATATTTGGCTATTGATACCTAGTACATCAGTGTCATTTTCTCTATTCATTGGCGAAGTTTTTTTTGTCGTAATATAGAACAGTTTCCTTAAAATGCCACATTTTTGTTTTACGTATCTGCTCAAATGAATCAAAGGTTCAAACTTTTGACGCCTCTTTATAGATTTGATGTTAGCTGAAGATATCCTATAATTTGGCCCTTTTCTCAGAAATTTAGAAAGCCAATAAAATATATCAGGTGATGGAAACGGCAGGTATAAGGTTATTTTGTATTTACTAGTACTAATTCAATATATCTAAAATACAAAGAGTTAACATGCTTATTAACGTCATAAGTAAGTCATAAGGAAGCTATGTCTTGTTTGGAATATAATCAATTTATTGTACATTCAATATTTTTGTCACTTTTCAGCTATAAATAATATGTTCATAAACTTTTAGTGATACATCTTTCAGCTCAGCAAAATCTTCTCTGAAGGCACACTTTGGGAGATTTGTCGTTTTATTTTAAGACAATTTACTTCACACATCTGCTTGGACAAAAAATTAATTAACAACACAAAGTATATCGGCAGGGAACATCTTCGCTTATAGAAATATTGACAATGTTCCTTTGAATTTTGAATCGTTGTTGCACTGTTAAAAACTAAGTTTGAGAATGTATTATTTCTGGCAATTTATTAAATGAAGTCACGAGGGTTCTCGGAAATATTAAAATAGCAAACCAGTTACCAAGGCTGTACTGTCATAAAACCGTTAACAAATAAAATCACAAATGGCTTGTGTTGGTACTACGGGGTCGGCAGAAAGGGTCAAAAGTGGCCCAGTTGCCACGCTTCACCCTCCATTACTACTACTACCAGTGGAAATGAGTAGTATGGAAACAAAAAAAAATAATAGCTTCAAGTAGGTTGATTCAGTGCTTCCTATGCAACGTGGTCATCAGTTGATAAAATATCTTGAACAGCAGTTGACTCTTTTTAGAAAAATATAAGTATGAACATGTACAATAAAGACATGGATCAACTCGGTCAAACTGATAGAATTATCATAGGTTCACCTTCTACTAGCGGTCCGGCTTCGCACACGTAACTGCCGTGTCATGACGTTGAGTAGCACAACTGGGCTAAATTAAGATGTAACTATGTTAATCCTACTTGGATTATTTTTTATATATTCTATTTCCGATCATGTAAGTATAAAAGCATTGCAAAAAAGTGCAAATATAAAATCCTTCCAGTAGGGGACCGGTTCCTGATCTACCACGTAACAAGCAGACAATGCAACCACTCGGGTTCCTTGTCGTCTGCTCAAACGCTGTATATAATCGAGTGTTAACTTACACGTTATTCACTAATTTGGATGAACAGCAGTTATTGTAACTTAAGTATAATTGTTAGGCATATAGCCCCAAGGAATTTTTTATATGCAAATTCTCGATACCTCAGTAACAATAACGGCATGTTCCAGACAATTTGGACAAAACTTTATCAAAAAAGATTTTTCTTATTTCGCCTGTTCCTCCGCCGTCAGCGATATTAAAAAACTACCAAGCTTTTTTGTCCTTGGCAAAGTAGTAATCTTGTAAGAAAATTCCATCAAAATCCGAGCGTTACTTTCCAAGATTAACCAGACAGACCGACGGAAATTTCATGTAATATAAAAACAACATGATATCCCATTTACGAAATTTTTCGCGATTGCAATAATTCCCCGCCAGTGGCATACGAAGTAAAATGCATTACCTTTAATTCGATAACTATCGTGAGTACAATATACTTGACAGCTTATACATAGGAAGTAAAGAGATATTGATTTTATTAGATAAATACCACGTATCAAAGGAAAACTAGACCATTAAATGTATCCCAACAGAACACGAGCAAGGTTTAACAATGAACTTGATGTATCTTATGCAACAGTTCTCTTACTGACCTTACTATAGTAGTTATAGAAGCATATGATTATACAGGTTACAAACAAATTAAATATAAATAATGTGCATAATTGTTTAGTATAGGATGCAATAATTGTTATAATTATCCGCATCATGAGTGCTTATACATATGCTGATATTTCTATGCCAGCTTTTCACAGCAAAAACTATGAAAAGATAGTAATGTTAATAGAAACCACTCAAATTCAGCGCGGCTTTGTCATACAGGTCGTAAGTTCAATATATCGCCCTAGTTTTGAAAAAAGCCCGATATACTGGTACTGAAAAGACCCGTTTTATAAAATGCCGTTTGAATCCTCTTTTAGCTAGTGGTTAAAGTTTTAACCACGTTATAATATCCAATTATCCAGTTAAAGATTAAACTCCCCTGTAGTTTTAGTTGAGTCATTTATTTTAACAGTGAGTAGATCTGATCAAAAGAAATGTTTTTTTCCTTTACCATTTTTCTGGTAAAATTAAAGTAACAAAGTTATAGCCCTTTGGAAGTTTGAGTACCGCCCTGCCTATTATATGCTCGTGTTTGGCGACAACGGATATAATCCGCCTGACCGGTTCATCGCATCGGAAACAAAAAAGCGAAAGAATTTGAAACGTTTATCACGATGTTTTTCGTCAGTCGATAAATCCTGAGTGAATAGTAGTGTGTTGCGTGGCTCAAACGAAATCAAAAATGGCACATGTTTACGAAAATGCTGAACTTGTGGACATGATTCTTATTTACGGGGGGGCAGTCTTTACAAAATGCTCCCGGATGCATCACGGATTTATGCGAATCGGTTTCCCAATCGAGTGCAACCAACCCCTCGTGCCTTTGTTAATGTAGTGCAAAGGGCTCGTGAATCAGGTGACTTAAGACCTCACAGGTGAGGGCATGCTGCTCCAAGACCGCACGATCAAATACAGGTCCGCACTGAAATACTTGTCGGGAGGATACTTTATTAAACAAGGTAACATTTTTTTTTTATTTTTACACACATATTTTGGTTTATCTTCCTTCTACAATCATTATCTGAAAATTAATGACTCAACTTCAAAGTCACCCTGTATAATGTATAAGATTGACGCCGTTATTAAGCATAATGATTTATTTTATGTTCTTATTCAGATTCATGATAACGCATTTCCGGAACGTTTTTATTGTTTTTATCCTTTTGGGCTTACTTTAAGAGATGTGGTGGTCTAAATGCTCTTAATAAAATATTGTCATTCGTGGATACCATGTCTTCAAATTTAAAATTAAACTTGCACACATACTATTAGCGATTTGAGACTCAATAATGAACACACGCTAGCGAATTAGAGTTCCAATACCATCATCACATAACATACATGTGAACCAAAACTACATAAACGACGAACATTGCACATTAGTGAAAATATACAACCGATGCGGTGTTACCAGAATGTGAATAATGACATAGCACAAGACTGACCGTTAACAACGAAAAACAAAGAAAAAAGAAGCATTCGATGCGACGTTTTTCAGACGCCTCAATGAAGTGAGGTGATTAGTAAAAATGAGGGCAGCCATTAACTCTCTCTTAACTTACTCGTATCTTTTGGTGATTTGTTGTGTCAAATGGCATCGATAGTCTCGTCAGCATGTACTGAAAATAGACGTCAAACGTCATGCATCATGACGATGTGATTTGTACTACTTGCATGGCGGGACAGATTTTCCTTCATTATCATAATGGTCCAAGAGGTAGCATAGCCGAGAAAGTGATACTTAGAAAGACGAAATGACTTCAATACTTGACCGTCAATAATACCAATATAAGTATCGTATCGTCAATTTGTACTCTTTTATCAAACTATTAATACATGGTGGAGACATTTCAGAATATAAGACTAGGTTTTCAGCTTGATATTATAATAATCAAAAATAAATTATACAAAACATATTAGAAACACTATTTGTTAGCACCTGCACCCTCAAAATTACTAATCAAACCTTCGAGAGTTTCATTTTTTGTATAATAAACGTTAAAGGTCTGGATTCTTAGAAATAAATTCTAATCTTGTATCCATCTCACCTACTGTCAGATAAGATATATGTTGAGCCTATGTATCATATAATGCCTCAAAAAACATTATATAGGATTATGCACAATGTAAGATCTCCCCTAAATGAGCTTATCCAGTTATAAAATGGTAACAACCGAAAATTTCTATATATAGTCTAATCATATTAGAAAATTTCCCCAAAATAATTGTGTCTGGTTCTATTGATGCAAGTTGTTCAAAGGGGTATTTAAAACATGGACGCATAAAATGGCTACACAAATTTTTGTGAGAAAACTTTTTATTCGACAACAAATACATAATTAGAAAACGTGATTTTTGGAATTCAATCGGAAGTGTTGGCAGGAACGAGAAAGCTCCTAAAATAGAATGTTTAGCTATTTATGAAGGTTTCGTTACTGCAAGAGAGTCTTTCAGAATTTGCGCGCGCGATTAGAATAGTGTGTCCGAGGGGATGGCAAACATTTGGACGGAACGATATTTAAGAAATAAAACCCGTCGAATTTACGCATATGTTGATAGTAATAAATATTTTCTTTTCATTAAGTTTGTATTTTTTTTTCTTCAAAAAGCGATTTTTTACACTTTCGCACCATCGCCAAACTTGATTTTCGATGAGTAGTCATCAAATATTTGCTTCACACGCAAGCTCTACTCTACCTCCAGCCCTACTGAGCGAGGGCCGTGGCAAATGCTTGTTCCGGAAGTTGTTGTATCCAGTATACAACTTCTTCCCGACCAAGTGATTGTGCACGCGTTAAGGAATACCTCAGTACCGATTGCCGGGTGGCGGTACAAGTCCGCCAACGGGCCACTTTAGGTCTATCTAACATCACTAACACGTAAAAAGAAGGTGGTAGACAGCGACCAGTCGACCGAGGCAGTACCACCCGCTAGCTTTTCCCAGGGTGTCTTATAAATGTCCGCATGTTTCCACACATAAGCTATGCAGTCGGTTATCTACCAAACAAAGAAATTAATGATGATGGATCCCTCGAGCACTAAGAACTCCGGACGTAAACTCACTCCACTCTCGGAATGTCCGGGTGGAGGGTGGGCTCGAGGGAACAACATCGAAGATAAAATTTGTTTTTCGAACATCTGCGGGATCAACAGCAACATTTATGCTGTTCATCACTACCTGCAATCCAATCGTCCCGCCGTGCTTTTCTTGGCGGAGACAAAAATCTCAGAGACTGCACCGATTAACCATCTCAACTTCCCAAACTACGAAGTGCACTCCAATCTGAGAAAGAACGGGGGAGTTGTGGCTTTTGTCCGCAGCAGTCTTTCCTGCTCCAGGGATCTTTCTTTGGAATCAGACCGGAAGGACATTCTGTGGCTTCGCCTCAACTCCAAAACATCACCCAAATTTATTTGCTGCCTTTATCGCTCTCCCTCGAACCATAACTGGGATGACCTACTCGAATACCTCGCCGTCCAGATCGACTTCCTGAATATCAATCACCCCGCTTCAGAGGTAGTTCTTCTCGGTGATTTCAATGCCCATAATGAGCTTTGGTTGGGCTCAAATAAGACCGATGCAGCAGGTCGTGCAGTCGAAGCGTTCGCTCTTACTCAAGGGCTGACCCAGCTGGTGACGAGCCCTACTTTTTTCCCCCGCGCCTCGTCACACGCTAGTAGCCTGCTGGATCTCTTTCTGACCACGCATCCTGTCCCTTACAGCACTGCTGTCCTGTCCCCGCTGGGTAACTCAGATCACGGTGTTGTGGAGGTTAGGTTTCGGTCAGAAGCCGCTGTGGCAGCAGAAACTCGCACAGGCCGCAAAACTTGGCATTACGGGCATGCCGACTGGGAGGGGCTCAGAGACTTCTTCTCTAGCTTTCCTTGGAGAGATGTCTGTTTCACTGACGCGGATGCGTCGGCTGTCTGTTCTTCGATAACCGAAATTATCCACGTCGGAATGGAGGAATACATCCCTCACACAGTGAAAGTTCCTAAACCAGGGTCCAACGGCTGGTTCAACAAATCGTGTGACACTGCTCACCAGCAGAAGATCAAGGCACACAGAACCTACTTACAAAATCCCACTGTAGAGAACAGACAAGCCGACGTCGAGTCCAGAAACAAATATAACAAAGCGGTTCGCAATGCCAAAAACCAACATGATATAAAAGTTAGGCACAGGGTAATGTCGCAGCGCAATGGCAGTCGGTCTTTCTGGACGCTGGCCAAGCAGATTGAAAAGAACTTCTCACACAGTAGCCTTCCACCACTTACGTGTCAGGATGGAACTATTGTATTCGACTCAAAGGCCAAGGCGGAAGTGCTAGCCAAGATCTTTGCTGCCAACTCCACCATGGACGTCCCCACCAACGCCCAAGTGCCGTCAATTCAAAGGGTTCCCCACACTATGCGAGAGGTAACATTCAGGCATAAGACCGTAAGACGAGTGCTCTGGTCGCTCGACATCAACAAAGCTTTTGGTTCGGACTTGATTCCTGCCATTGTACTGAAGAGATGTGCAGCGGAGCTTGCTCCAGTTCTTTCGCGTCTCTTCCAGATATCTTATGAATCCGGCACCTTCCCAGAAAACTGGAAATTTGCTCATGTACAGCCCATCCCAAAAAAAGGATCTAAGACCGACCCTTACAACTACAGGCCTATAGCTCTGCTTTCTGTTATAAGTAAAGTGATGGAGAAGTGCATAAATCCCGAGCTTCTGGACTACCTCGAACGTCACATATCAACGACCTCCTTTCCTGCACGATCAACCCAATCCACAGCTTCGCTGATGACAGCACTCTACATGCAGGAATTCAGAGTGACAAGCTGATCTCTGCCGCTAAGCTGGAAAAAAGAAGACTAGCGACAACTTCTTCTCTGACAAGAGACCTGGAGGCTATCACTACTTGGGGACGCAACAATCTTGTACAGTTCAATGCTTCCAAAACACAGTACTGTACTTTGACGAACAAAAAGCGTCCTAGCGCTCATACAGTTTCGATGGACGGCCGAGTTCTACCAAATAGCCATTCATTTCGGCTGGTCGGAGTCCAGATCACCGAGGACCTGATCTGGCACGAACAAATCTCTTCAATAGCTGCAGCTGCTGGGAAAAAGCTAGGCTATTTGTTTAGGGCTAAGAAGTACTTTTCTCCGCATGACCTTCTCACTCTATACCAGGCCCAGATAAGGCCTAGCCTCGAGTATTGCTCACACATTTAAGGTGCTGCCGCCCCGACTACATTGTCCATGCTCGATGCTGTCCAGAGGAGGGCGGTCCGACTGATCGATGACTCTTCTCTAGCAGACAGTCTCGGGACTCTTTCGCACCGGCAGGTCGTCGGCGATCTAGCTCTTTTCTATCGCTACACCAACGAGCTTTGCTCCTCAAAGCTCTCTTCCATGATGCCGCCGCGCGATGTGCCTGCCAGACAGACCCGCCTGACTTCGGCGTCCCATCCGAACTGTGTCAAACTTCGTACATCCAGAACTGGCCGATACGACCGCTCCTTTGTCCCGAGGGTGTCTAGATTGTGGAACAATCTACGGGAGGAAGCTTTTCCCAGTTCTACTAACCTTAGGCAGTTGAAAAATCGTATTAACAAAATTTCTTTGGGATCATCATAGCAGCCGCGGTGTTCCGGCATTTAGGCTTCTGCCTGCGCGGCTGTTTCGATATATATAAAAAAAAGCTTTGTAAAACTTGACGTAGAAACCTTCGGTTGTACTTATCTATAATTTTCAATTTGCGAGAGGTCAAACTATAAACATGTTAAACTTACTAGTAGTTGTAAGGTTAGTGGATGGAGCGTCACTAAATGGGGCTGGAATTTAATTTTTGGTCGTCACCTATTATAACTGGACACATTCATATTGGGGCGATCGTATACTTACCCACGATAGCCTAAAAGTAGTCAAAAACCCAAAAAAGGAAAAGTCTACAAAATGAGAAAAACGCGGATATGGAAATTGAAGCATTCAAACTGCAATCAATGTAATAAATCTTAAACAAAATCACATATTTGCTTTCTGCCGTATATGTATTGCAGGCTTACATAATGTTCTTGAAACACTGATTGTTATTTCTAGTTATATTAAGCACCGAGATTAAAAAAAGTGGGGTTTATTCTGTTGTTCAGGCTTGAACCCGGTATTATCGATTTCGAAAGCAAAACATTTTGAAAACACTGTCTCGTTTGGAAGCCAAGGATGACTTACTGCAGTACCTTGATGCCTTGCACTATCGCAATATCGATCTTAACCAAATAATGTGTTTATTAAAATTACCGATATCACTTCCACAGTTCCATCTTACTCACTCATACGCATGAACATTATTACCTCTGTGTGCGGAAGTAAGTTTAAGCTCACGTTTTTTAACTTTGTTCCGCCCCAACAAAAATTTTCTCGCTACATACGAGTATTCTACATATATGCTAAGCACTGTCAGTATGGCAACTCAAGTGGGTTGAGCGTTATTGTTCTTCGATATACAGGGTGGACGATATGTAACTGACTGGTTTGTTCCTTGAATATTTGTGACATGAAATAAAATAGGTCCATTTTTTTCATCTTAATCTTTTATTGAAACTGAGAAATTATGTATGGAAAATAA